GTTCTGTGGAGCTGCCCAGCTGTTACAGTTGTACAATAAAACAGGGGTAACAAATGCTTCATACAGCTTGATTTTTACAGGAAGAGAAATGCGGGATTTCTCTGCCCATACCTTGCTGTATTTCTCAAAGGCAACGTAAGCAAGGATGCATCGGCGAGAGATATCAGCCTTACTGCAGAGCTTGGATCCAAGAGAAATAGTGTTGCGCCAGGGCTCTCTGTTCTTCACGGGTTCACCCTTGGCGTCTACCTCGTCCTTATCTGCAATGTAGAAGTGGACATGTTCTGTTTTGTCCTCGTTCACAAACAGGTTCCATTCTTCAAGGATCTCCTTACATATGGGCAGCATTTCTTTAAGAGTTTCCTCATCCTCATCTGCAAAATCGCCATCGTTACTAGGAACATCCTAAAGACCTGATAAGTCTACTTAAAAGACTTGTAGAACTGAAAACTTACTATAAATACAAAAAATGGAACTTAAAACTGAACTTATCAAAATCAAAAATTATGCAAAACATTGAACTTAAAACTGAAATTATCGAACAAACAAATTTAAAATAAATTTCTCCACAATTGGCGGTTCGAGGCTAAATACCTTAAGTCTGTCAAGTTGTCACTATTATTCAAATTAATCTTTCTTTTATTCAAATCGTCTAAAATAGTTTTAAAAATATTACATTGATGTCTACCAATCCTTCCCCTCATATTTGACATACTATCAACAGCAAAATTTAGAGCTAGTTGTGGTGGTGAGTTGCAGTCGCTACGAAGAATGTGCCCAAACATTTTCCAGCGGGATTTATGAACTCTCTCTGAAAGTGGAGTTACATTGCAACGAGCATACAAGTCCTTGTTGCTGATGATGCGGGGATAGGTCATGTTGATGATACGTCTTAGATGTTTGCGTTGACACACATCAACTTTATTGATAATGTTCTGTGGAGCTGCCCAGCTGTTACAGTTGTACAATAAAACAGGGGTAACAAATGCTTCATACAGCTTGATTTTTACACGAAGAGAAATGCGGGATTTCTCTGCCCATACCTTGCTGTATTTCTCAAAGGCAACGTAAGCAAGGATGCATCGGCGAGAGATATCAGCCTTACTGCAGAGCTTGGATCCAAGAGAAATAGTGTTGCGCCAGGGCTCTCTGTTCTTCGCGGGTTCACCCTTGGCGTCTACCTCGTCCTTATCTGCAATGTAGAAGTGGACATGTTCTGTTTTGTCCTCGTTCACAAACAGGTTCCATTCTTCAAGGATCTCCTTACATATGGGCAGCATTTCTTTAAGAGTTTCCTCATCCTCATCTGCAAAATCGCCATCGTCGGCGTATTCCCATTCAATAGGCATGAGGGTCTCGGGGTTGAACGGTGGGTTAGGCCGAATGGTAATCACTACTGCACGGAAGTGGTACAAAGCTCCAGCAAAGTACAGTGTGAAGAATGCACCAGATGCAGCATCACCTTGAAACGAACCCTCGGATGTTTCAAACTCTAAAGAAATGGTGTTGTTGATTTTTATCCTCAATTTGGTGTTGGAGAGCAAGTATCTCGCCAAACGAATGTCATCCTCATAACAACCAGCATCAGCCAAAAGATCCAGGATAACTGATCTCTTGATGGTATCGAAGGCCGAGCTCATGTCGATTCCCATCTTGTGGAACTCCCATCTCTTCTCTTTCACAACAGAAATCAGAATTCGTTGAGTCCAGACAATATTGGCACAACTATGACCAGCCTTGTAGGCATTTTGCCATGGTCCTGTGTACTCTGCAATTTGTCTTTGAATTCTGTGTAGAGTAATCAAGGAGAGCAGTTTCCTAGTTCCATTCAGAAGGCAAAGAGGTCTGAGGCTCTTTAGAGGTCCTTTTGGTTTCCCTGGCTTCTGAAGAGGGGTTAGAAACCCTTCCGTGAAAGAGGGTACATGCTCATGTACTTCGAATGATCGATTAATGAGACATGCATATTGCTGGAAGAATACAGGTGGTGCGTACTTCAGCAGCTCGTTAGGAATCTCATCAGGACCTACTGCTTTTCCATTTTTCAACTTTGAAGCAGCATATTGGACTTCTAAGGAAGTTATAGGAGTATTCAGAGGACGTGGGAGTCCAGTGAAAGGTACCAAAGGAGGGTCTGAGCTGGTGTAGTGATTTTTAAACCACTCTCTAATGATACTTGCTTTCATATCGTCACTTGCAACTAGCTGATTTTCAGAGTTGAAGACAGATATTGGCTCTGACTCTTTGTTGGCAGCAAGAGCTCTGGTAGCCTCGAACATCCTCTTCGTGTCATCTGCAGCGTTGATGGTGTCAGCTAGTTGGTTGGCTAGAGCTGTCTCTAGCACTTTAAGACGTTTATTGATATCGTTCTTGAGTTTATTGATACGTTTTCTCAATACTGTCCTGTCTCTAACTGAATTGTCGTTCAGTTCTTGTAAAAGTTTGTGTCTCTCGTCAGACATATTACATACATGCTGATCTGATGAATGATGATGTCTTTGGGTTTTCTTCTTGACACCCACAGTGTTAGAGGCTGAAGACTTGATAGTTTCAAACAGCTGTTCGAATCCTGTCTTAGTGTCAGCGGAAGGTGGAAGACTGTCAATTTGCTGAGTGACAGTTTGCTGGTACTGATCTTGTAGTTCCTTGTTACAAACCAGCGATGTCGTGTTGTACCTTTTAGCAGCTGATGTACTGTTTCGGTATAACTTAGTTTGCTGCCTCAGGTCTATGGTAGCTTTTACAATCTTATGATCAGAATGTAGTTTAGCTCCTGCATAGGCCCTTGCATCATTGAGAAAAACAGTGCTGCGTGACCGGCATAAAACATAATCAATCTGAGAAAAATAAGGGCGACTTCTTTTGGTCTTCTTGTCTTTCACCCAACCAGTTCTTGTGGTTATATGACGACTGGAATGACGAAATGCAGTGTTTGCAGCAAACAAACCATTAGAAACAAGAAAATCCAATAATCTCCCACCATTTTCATTTCGTCTTCCAACGCCATGCCTTCCAATGTTCTTATGAAGGCCATTTTGAAAGTCATGATCAGACCTTTTGCCAAGTTTGGCATTGAAATCTCCTAGGATCCAGATTTCATGTCTTGCAGGCACATTAATTGCTTCCTGAAGCTCACAGTAAAACTGGTCAGTAGCAGCCGGATTTGATAAAGTTTTTGGGTTGGTTGGACTGTAACAGTTCACGATTCGCATTTTGCATGGTGGTTTGTTAACAAACTTGGATGGAATAAAAAAGTCCATGAAAGCAACTCGATCGCTGATCTGATGAAATGAACGGAAATAATAATTTACACGAGCGTTGATTAAGAAACCCAGTCCACCATGACGTCCTGTCTTCTGATCAAACAAAAGGAGGCGATGATTTCCTGGTAGTTTCTTATCCTCAAACTGACAAATTTTAGTCTCTTGAATCCCTATAATGTCCAAGTCATACCTGTCACAGTCGTTAGCAAGCAAGCACTGCTTGTCTGTCTTCGTCAAACCTCGAACATTCCAAGTAGCAACGCCGAGAAGAGCAATTGGTAACAAGGATTACGGTGTCCAGTTCTACAGCGATCCTTCGCGTAGGGGTAGATAGTCTGGTTGCAGCAACCATGCGAGTTCATCACGAACTACACGCCATCCTAAATATATATATATATATATGTGTATATATCCGTGCCATTTTACTGACACCACGGCATCAACTTTAACGCGACTTTCCGCAAAAACCGTAAAACATATACAACTGAAACTTTTTTGACTGGGTCAAATGCTTTAATGGCCTTCAAATCAGCATGAAAAAATAAAAAATTGGCCAAGGAATAATAATTTTAGTGCCCAAAATTTGGACTCTCAAGTGGTGTCAAAAACGCGAATTAAATAGGTAATAATTATTTTAGTCTCTCGAGTCTTGACACCACTTTAGGGTTAGACGGGTTCCTGCTAGTAATTATAATACTTGTGTGATAGTAACTATCACACAAGTATTTGTGACTCAATCATATCGAGGTTAAAAACTGTGCCTTCATTATATGGAGGTTAAGTAACTGTTTACTGTACCTCAATATCTAACAGCTCAATCCAGGGCACTGCCTGGGAAAGGTTGTTTCTGAGTGAAATCCTGCTGTCCTTGTTCACACCGTTCTTCTCGTAGAGACATTTCAGTATTTGCTGTACCCATAGAGTCCCTGTTTATAAGTTAATTAATAACTAAGTATTAATTAGTTACAAATTATTAATATTATCCGGTTGATGGTGCTCGTCTGAAAATGATTTTAAAAGGTAATTTAAGGAAGGCAATTGAAAATTAAAATAATAAATATCCAAACAGGTTGATAACCTGACTTAGGATAGGTAACCAAAATAACATCGTCATCCCTCAGCTCGTAGTCTGATGTTCTGTGTATCTCGTTGCCGTCTATCAAGTGTTAATCACTAGTTTACTAGAAACTTGAAACCTCGACTAAAGTTAACCTTTTTCCATTATTTGTATTAGAGTAAAACATATTCAGAGCTCCTAACATGTGATCATGGTTCCCGGACGAGCTTAAACTTTTGTCATTATTGAGCCTTATGAACGACAGACAAGCATTGACTCACAATTATTTGGATTTATTTTGGATTTATGAGAACCAGTCCAGCAAAGATTTAGTATTATTACTATTAGGTATACACTTAATCTAGTGCACGGTTAGTAAGCTCACATTAAACGTACCGGTGGGTATATCTGTCCACACAGAAAGTTGTGTCTGAACGGCAGGTTGAGAGGAGGGAATAAACTTTTTATGGGCATATTCCAATCCATGTCGAGTTAAAATGCAGGTGGTTACTAGTAACAAATAGAATTAGACAATAAATAAGCTAGTGTTAAAAGTGTAGTGGGCCAAGGTTTTACTTTCAGATTTAACCCACGCATTATATTGCATATATTGTGTAAAATTTCAAGTTTCAGGTGCCAATTTGAGATCAGACCTTTGGAAGCTTTACTTTTTACAAGTTTTTCGCACAATTAAGTTTACTACCATGAGTTTCTAAAATTTCGTAAGTCAAAATAAATGAACACATATTGCTGAACTTATCAAAAATTCACCTATTAAAATACAAAGTAAAATAAAAATTCTGAAGTTCCAACAGGTCTAAAACAAGATTACCCAACAAAGATATAATTATAATACCTATATAGAATAAAATATGTAATCAAAATAAAAAATGTAACTAACTAAAAAATCTGTGATTAATCAGTCACTCAGTAATACTAAAGATTTCCATTAACTTACTAACTTAACATTATAATCGATTTAACGGAGAATATCGACAAAAATCATTCATAAAGTCATGATGTATTATAATCAAGAGGTCTTAAACAATAACCCTTAAATCAATTTCAAATGTTAAACACGAAATAAGTAAACACAAAAGGCTGACATTAACTTTAAATCAATAATTATTTACCAATGAAATTATTTAACATGTTCTACTTTTGGTCCACCAATGCTGGATATAACTGAATATGATCATTGTGGCACGTGATAACCATCAAATACGTGGTGCGTGATCAAACACGTGAGCACACACATAAAGTGCACCTAAAATCACACATCATCAGATTTAGCAGAGTGTTTCCGTTTCATGTGCTGTGTCATATTGCTCTTCAGTCCAGTCTCCCAGCTGCAGTGTGGACAAGTGAAGGGCTTGTAGCCGGTATGCTGGGTCCGGTGTGCTGCTAGGTAGTCTCGTCTTGTCGCGGAGTAGTCGCATTCTGAGCACTGGGGTGGTTACCTTGGTTACTGTTAATTGGTTTCTAATTAAATAATTAGTTTCTAATTAAATAAGCGGTTAATTGTCTAATTTTTAAGTAGTTCAGTAGGAGGAGAGGTATATGAGTCGGTTAATAAATTAAAAGTGAATTCGTTCTTTTGATCAAGAAGACAAAGAAGGTATCATGATTTCTGAAATTTGCATTAACCAGCCGCGGTAATCAGTTATACTTATAATCACTTCTAATTCTTGAATCAAGATGTCAGCGATAGTAGTTACAGTTTGTGGTAAAATATAGCAATGTTCCTACTTCCTATAACAGTCAATACGTCAACTAATTACAGTCTATAAAAATATAATAGGTTTATAATAACCTGGTATTTCTTCCGGGCAGTATGCTTGCTCCACATATGTTGAACCAGATTGTGTTTAAGAGCCGCACTATAGTCGCACATGCCGCACTGGTAGGGTCTTTCTCCACTGTGTGTCTTCCAGTGACGAGCTGGGGTTAGTCGTTTGCATGGTTACATGTTACTATGATTACATGTTACTATGGTTACATGTTACCAATAATAATATAATACATTGGCGAGCTGGGGTACCACAGTTTGTACAATGAAAATAAGGTAACCAATTTAAATGATTAAAGCGTTATTATAACCACTTATTTCAAATGTTTTGTCTTCTTCAAGGATTCAGGGGCATGTATATAATAATTTATAACTATAGTGTCCAGCCCTAATCTAATTGTTTCTCACCTAACTGATTGTACTGCTTAGCTTGGTAGTCGCAGTATTTGCACTCAAACGATTTCTCGTCTTTTAGATTGTAGTTGTATCTAGGAGATTCTGATCTCGGACGATATTCTGAAAATACCGGGCGATGAAGGTCAAGAAGCAACAAACAGAACCAGCATATCCTGATCCTCAGTGTCGCATGCATGCACTGGAGCACCGTTATCAATGTCACGTGTATTTTGTCACGTGTACCTTGTCACGTGTACCTTGTCACGTTTACCTTGTCACGTGTACCTTGTCACGTGTACGTGAATAATTGCAGGTTCACCATTAGAATCCCAGGCTCATACTATATAACTTCCTAGTTCTAACTTACTTACCTTCTGTCATTCTAACATCCCATGATTTTTTAATATTCGCAGTATCCTTCTCTTTCAAATAGGGTGACCAGACCGAGTTACTACTTATCAGAGTTCTACCAATCATCTTGTTAATGTGAGGAGTGGCTCCTTGTTGGGGTGTTGTTGTAATGGTCCCCAGAGGGGCCGTCACTAGAGGCGCCACAATGGTTCCCAGAGGGGCCGTCGCATGAGGCGCCACAGCGGTTCCTGAAGAGGTCTTTAGAGTTGTGGTTGCAGTTGGGGTGGTGAGAAATACCGGTGTCTGGTCAGAGAGAACAGTGGTTGCTGTGGAGGAGGACGCAGTCGTATTTATAGGGGAGAGGGACCCTGCAATAATGAGAAACAGATTCAAATAATGTTTAGGGAATATTTATGTTCTTCAAAGAGATCCTGATTTGTATGAGCACCAGTATGATAATCTGATATTCATGATTTAAACCAGTTAAACCGGAGAAAACTTAATTTCAAAATGTGGAGACCTTTAATGTTATCAATAGTGAGCGTACCATAACGCGAGCGCAAACCAGGGCACAAACTTCGAAATCCAACTTGGTTGTCCTCGATATTGGTCTTCGTTGAGTTGCTTAATGAATTACTGTCTTGAACATCTTGAACATCTTGAACATATTTTTCAGCAGCTTCCTTTGTGTTCCGTGTTTCAGTTTGGAGCCACGAGGCCGGAGATAGACTAGATGTACTGATGATAACAGGAAGTCTAGGGTAAGTTAATGGAAGAGATATGTTAGGAAGGGGGGTGGAGCGATCATGGAGGGAGGTTGAATGAGGGAGGGGCATCTGCAGTGGTGTGGTGAAGAAGGAGACGGGACTTGGGAAGAGCCCTGGACAGGGTGCCAGCTCTTTTTTTAGTCGTGATAACTGGGCAATCACTGAAATGAGTAGAAAATCAACCTTAATGATTATTGCGGTAAAATAACGATCGTAAATTTTTCGCTCTTTATGTTTCATCATCTCAAAATTAAAAAAAAACCATGATTACCAAATCTAAATTAGCAAGGGTAAATTATTAACGACTGGACATTTTCCCTTACGGTTTGCTATGCTATGGTTCCGCTGGCCAGGAACTTTCATCACTTCTTGTCCCTCCTTCAGGATTCCTCCACATACATCAATTATGTCACGATCTGAAATATACAGTAGTAGATATAAGCTGTTAAATATACTGTTATAACAACTTATTATAGACCAAACATTATACTTATAGCTATGGTTCGTTTAACATTTTATTTGGAATTTAAGTTTAACTGTTAGGACCTGAAATTAGATATCATCAGGTAGATTAACATCAAACTTAAAAACACGTGTACCAGGTACTAAAAAACACGTACGGGGAGGAGGAGTGTTATACAGTAGTCCAACTATAATATAATACCTTCGCGGACATAATTGTCACGGACAAGTTTTTCACGGACATAATTATTCACGCTCATGACCGTGATAATTATGGCCGATAAGGTATCTTAAACAATAGGCACGGGTTACACTAGTTTTATATACGTACATATAATTCACCTACAAGTTTAACTGCTTGGAGTGATGAGGTACATCTTTGTGATAGATTAACATTAAACTCAAAACACGTACCAGGTAAATTAACTTAACATTCAAAAACACGTACCAGGTAAATTATCATTACACTAAAAAACACGTACCAGGTAAACTATCTTTGCACTAAAAAACACGTACCAGGTAAACTATCATTACACTAAAAAACACGTACCAGGTAAACTATCATTACACTACAAAACACGTACCAGGTAAATTAACATCACACTAAAAAACACGTACCAGGTAGAGTAACATCACACTCAAAAAGTATCCTCTCACCACTATACCTAAAAGCATAACTACACTGCTCCATGATGGACCTAACAAACAGTACCAAAGACGGACTAGCAGTTCAGTTTCTGTTGCTAGGTTACAGTTAGTGAGACTATTCCTGATAAGCGGGAGATCGTCCGGTCTTGTTATCAGTTGTGGCTTGTGTGACAGAGTTTCCATGAAGATCGGCCATGGTTCTAGAATGTCAGAGGGCCTTAAGATAGCCGCTACTTGGGTTGCAGATCAGAAGAAACAAGCTGCTGTAGCCCAATCAGGGTGGAGGAATACGTCACATGATGAAATGGATTAGGTCACGAGGGGGCGGGGACACGGTTAATAGAATCTTGCTAGTATCTTGCAATGATATTGGATGCTGCACCAATTCACGTGCACGTGACTGTACTTTAATGCTGTAATCCGTACAAATGTAAGTAGGCGGGTATCTAGTTCAATCTTTGTACAGATTTAAGTCTTAAGAAACTTCCTGCTTTAAAAGATGTTGTGTCTGCATCTGATATATTTTTTTGCAGAAACGCTTTGATAAAGAAATGTAAGAGCAATTCATTTTATTTATTTAACTTAGATTCGTCCTACGGGGCACAAATTAAATGTCCGGCATCTATTTCAGTATTTCTTTCGGCTTTTTGTTTTGTTAGCCATAGTTTGATTCGGACTGTGGCAATTTCATGAAGAATGCAACTATCAACTCCCAAATAAGTTATTAACTTATAGTGACTTATAAGACAACTTGGAAAAACACTTAATTTACTAAAAAAATACACTGGTTAGAATATTAGCTTAAATATTATTGAATCTTTAAATTTTATTATCATTTATAGTTGAAAACATTTACCTGGTAATGGAAGAATCATGAAACACAGCTGGTACATACAACTACTAACTCGTGAAAGAAAACCAGACCAAGAAGCGCCTGTTAATATAAGCTAACTCGTCGTAAATCGCGAGCTCTAGCAGGTATCCTCGGGTGATTGTCAGATCAGATGGTGGTCCAAGAGAGACTGCTGGGGCACCTGACAGAAAACCGTATCGCAATGAAAGCCCCGAAACGGTGTCAGGTTTGTGACTGAAGATTCTGATCAAGCTCAGGGTTGAGTCTACACAGTGTCGCCACTTGCCGATGCCAGTTGATGCGAGAAGACACTGATGTAAGTGGGAAGTTATGTCTAAGAAACAGCGTGTGGTTCGGGTGCCGGTTGAACGCATGTAAAAGGGAGGGTATATCCGTATTTCGCTGCTAGTGATGCAGTCCTTAGCCCGGTAGCTAAGGCTTCCCCGTTTCTCGCTCATTTGTGCTCCGATGGGCTTGTGACCTCTGCGGGGGTCAAGTGCAGGATGAGGGACATGGCTGACCAGGAGTAGGTTGTTTTTGGGAGAAAGAGTAGGGTTGGTTTGGTGTTGTGCCTTCGCAGTTTAACTGTATCTTTACTCAAAAGCAACAATTTCAATCAGATACATCAACACATGTGTAGTTATTGACTACTGATTAACCTTGCAATTACCTCCATGCTATGCGGTGGGATATAATGTATGTTAGCGGTAATTTTATTGTTTATCTTTCTCGGCCATGGCTGCCTGATCTATGGCTGTTAATGTTATCATCACTTCTCCAGAAATACCAGCGTGATATTATAACTGTTATAAACACCTTAGGGATAGAATAATCAGCCGGAAATCGACCATAAATTTATGAGTAACTCTCAAGTAATTATTAACTTGGATCAGGACTAAACTTTCCTTCGAGGTGATACGGTCAGCAGTTCTCGGAGTTAGAGGGTCCAGAACACCGTGGAAGAGGACATATTCATTCCACACTGACGATTTTGGCCTCCTAGCACACGACGCCGGGATAGACACGAGACAATAAACATTAATATGCACATTGGACTATTGATGCTGTTTTTCCCACTTTATGGAGAGTAAGCTTATGATTATAGTTTCAATTAACACATTTTATAGATGATTGGATTTATTGTTCATTTGCATGCTTTGTATTGTATTTCAGTTTATCTTTACCCATAAAGGGTTTCAGGTTTGACCGTTGGGAGCGGTATAAAAAAAAGTAATTATTAACATGCAAGCTTGAAGCACCGTGTGGGAAATTAGAGAAGCTCACATTGGGGAACCAATCAGTTTATATAGCCTATGCTGATGCACAACTAAGAACCACCTGTATGATAATTGTAATTTGATTCAAATAGCTGTTTTAAATTGAGACAATGTAGTGGTTCACTTCTTAATTTATAGCTTGTGATTGTGTATACAGAGTTCTGAGTTGTCATATCATGATTATGAACTCTACCCCAGATCTAGCCCATTTCTAGGTCAATTATATTCAATCCATAGATTACTTGAAAATTTAAATTAATCCTTATTATTGGGCTTTTGTCATTATCAATTGTGATATTAATCCTTATAAACCATAGTTTATAATTGCTCAAGCTATACAACCACACCGATGATGTTTACTGTTTAGGCCTAGCAATAGCTAGGCCTAAACCTTCCTAAAATTGAACAAATTAGATTATTTTAGACGATATGCCCCCGGGCCCCCGGGCCCTTCATTACGCCACTGAAAAGAAAATATTTTCAATACTAGTAGCATTAGTGATATCGAGACGGTCATCTCTATTCTCTAATATAAATATTGATCTGAAATGGTCCTGGCATGCATAATTAGGGCCTTAAGATAACATATTTTATGATTTGGATCCGCTTGCCTCAATGATTAGTGAGTTGTAATCGCAGCCATATTCTGTTAATAAAAACGGTTTTACATAAACCATTACCCCAATCCAAACCAATACCATAACCACAAACCCGAAGAATCGGAGAAAACCGAAGAGTTCACGTCAGGATGCCTCATTGCCTCAACTATAAGTTCAAGGAGGAAAGTAACAGTTCCTGCCTGAACCTAGCAGAGTCGGTGCTCTAATTAGCACTATCAGTTAGACTTTTCGTTCCACCTATTCCGCGGAAGGAGTATTGAGAAGCTGCAGGAGTGTTCCGCAGAAGCTATATTAAGAGGTACAAGGATCTCAAAGGAACTTTTACCTTACCTTTGATACCTTTGATCTGCTTCGTCGAAACTCGACAGGCCATCAGAGTTGCTGACCACCCCAAAGAGCAGTTGCCTCTCGATCGTTACTCCAGTCCAGTATAGAATTGGAGTTCGGTGATGTGAAGCCCCGGATTGGCGGTTTATCCGGCAAAGAAAGCATGAATGCCGTCATATGATGCTTGAAGCCATCATGCTTGGAGACTGCACGTATGTGCCAAGCTATACAGTTCCAGAGTCTGGGACCCATTACATGCCAAATGATGTTTCATATAGAGTCTGGTGAGCAGCTGAGCTTTTTACTGTGAACTGGACTTCAAGGTCGTTAATTGGATGTGAAACCATGTAGGATTTTCCACATGTGTATGACAATGTAACGTTCTCTGCGCTTCTGAAGTGACATGAGGGACAGGGTTTTTAGGCGATCCCAATAATGGAGATGATGTAAACCATGGATCTTTGAAGTGAAAGTTCTTTGTAGGTACACTTTCAAGCTCCTGAATGTCATACACTTTTAATCGAATTCCACAATCAAAAGGTCGTATGTGATTTGCCTTGAGTCACAGCAAAGGTATAATGTGTTTATTATCTGTACAATTAGGTTACCAGTCACAAATTCCAACTGCTCTCTACTTGTTCCGCAGAAGCAATATTAAGAGGTGCAAGGATCTCAAAGGAACTTTTAACCGAATTCACAATCAAAAGGTCGTCTGGTCGTATGTGATTTGCCTTGAGTCACAGCAAAGGTATGTGTTTATTAGTATTACCTGTTTATTACCTGTCCTAGTCCTAGTCCTACATGACAGACTGCAGTAATCTAATTGTCCAGGTAACACAAATTCCAACTGCTCTGATCTACTTGATAAACAAAAACGTACGACAATACTACAATTCCAACTGCCGATGATTCTTTCAAAGAAGTTTCTAATAAAACTGTAAAACAGTAAACTCAGTGCCAACAATTTAAAATGAAATTAAATAAATCGCGTTACGACATTTGATTGTTAATTGTCCTGAGAAATCAATTGGATATTTTAATTCGAAATAAGCTTTTCGGTTTTCCGAATTCTTTAAAAACATGTTTTTCTGGGAACCAATTTTCTCTACGTTTCATGGCCATGCTACCTTGTTCATTATTAGCAGAAAATATTTGTTCGGACATTTATATAATTACATAAACATAAAATAAAATATTTACAGCAGTTTCTTAAACCGTTTCCAGATAACCCACCTGTGAGCAATTACAGCTGCCCTAATGGAAATTCTTTGCTGGACTGGAGTATGAATAAGGCAGCAGCGATGCTGCAAGGGCGGTCGAACTATTCGATGACCCAGTAGAGGAATCTACGAATCTCTCCAAAGTATCCAAAGTAAGTAAATACATTGAATGTCATTGTTGCCTCTTTGTTAATTCGCAGAGCAACGCGACCATCTGGAAGTGGAAGGGTTGACATCGTCAATCAAAATCTCATAATCATATAGCTAGAAGTAGAATGAAAGGTAAATATTAAAACGAATTGGCCCTATAGCACTTAGCAACACCCCGGAGGAGTTAATAACACAAAATGCCGACACGCTTATAAATATAAGGTTATATATTAGAATAACCCCTCGTGCTAAAGCAAGTCGGCGATATTTTCATATAAATATTAATAATTCCTCGTGCTTCGCACTTAAAATTATTATCAACTTTACCGCGGGCAGTCCCGTCTGTCGATTGCAGACAGAAAACACTTTTATATGTCATAGTCATACTCATAGTCATACTCATATAGTCATATAGTCATATACTCATATAGTCATATACTCATATAGTCATATAGTCATATACTCATAGTCATACTCATATAGTCATACTCATATAAGTATACCCTCATTCTTCACTAATTTCAACATCTGACGTTTTCTTATAGTTATGCACTCATAATAAATGTTAGCTAAGTGTTCATAGTGTCATGATATGTAATGTTTTTTGGAGGTCCAATTGAGACTCTTAGATAATGTTCCTATCCTGACATTACATGAATAATAAACACTGACCACTGTATAAACATCAAATAATTGTTCTGGCGGGATTCTAGAATGTAGAAATCGAATTAACCCGGAGAAACGGCTCGCCCGGCAATCAACGTTCATGGTTGCGTCTCGAGATATGTTCTTAGTTGTACAAATTGAAATACAATTTTTATCTAATTTTAAAGTTTTAAGCGACGTCGGTTTGTCGTGACGGTTTCATTTGATTGCTCTTTATAGTTTATTAGCACAATAATGATGTTGATTTTTTCGAATGAAGGTTCATTTTCGAAATTTTTGATATTTTCAATTTGATTGGATCGAGTCAAATTGTTTTAATTGCGTTGTGTTGGGACATTTGAATTACATAATATGTCCTGACAGACTAGAATGAATGGTGGCAGTGTGCTGTCTGCAAAGTTATAAGTCTAATCAAACATAGAAATGGCCATGAAGCCTAAACGTTTCCACACTGTAGTATGTCGGACAAATGTATTATATCAGACATTCACATTAGGGGACATGGGCACAAACATGCAAAGATACGCGTACGTGTCCAAACTCCAGGAACCAAAATTGAATTCCTATTTAACTATCGTCACAGACTAAAGGAGACAAATGGAAGCCAGCAATCGAATCATCCCATTACATGGATTTAAATTCAAGGAGCGGTTTTGTGATTGGACAGTGTGTCCATGTTCCAATCCAAATAAGACATGTAATTTAAGTGAACAATCTTGGAATCCCATGTTTACTCTACTAGTGGGCAGTGGTGTTGCCTGTTATAAGGGTATGATCAGAAGATCCAGGGTTCAAATTTCCCGGTGTCATATAGTCTAAGGAGATAGGTAGCTAAAGATTTATAAATAGAGTAAAACGGAATTTTGATTCGATCTCGATTTAAAGTTTAAAGGACACAAATATTTGCAGCCTCACGATCAGTTTTAATTTTATAGCGGTCTCATGAAGTTCTAGAGTTCAGGCATTATATTGTTAAAGTTTAGCTCCGATTATATTACTCTTTGCAGACACTCTCGCCCGTACTCTCTCTCTGTCTCTCTCTCTCTCTCTCTCTCTCTCTCTCTCTCTCTCTCTCTCTCTCTCTCTCTCTCTCTCTCTCTCTCTCTCTCTCTCTCTCTCTCTCTCTCTCTCTCTCTCTCTCTCTCTCTCTCTCTCTCTCTCTCTCTCTCTCTCTCTCTCTCTCTCTCTCTCTCTCTCTCTCTCTCTCTCTCTCTCTCTCTCTCTCTCTCTCTCTCTCTCTCTCTCTCTCTCTCTCTCTCTCTCTCTCTCTCTCTCTCTCTCTCTCTCTCTCTCTCTCTCTCTCTCTCTCTCTCTCTCTCTCTCTCTCTCTCTCTCTCTCTCTCTCTCTCTCTCTCTCTCTCTCTCTCTCTCTCTCTCTCTCTCTCTCTCTCTCTCTCTCTCTATCTCTCTCTCTGTCCCCCTCTCTCTCTATCTATCTAAGCTGATAATTGTTGGTTAACAAAATTGTAGACAAAATTGCAGACTCAAGGGAAATTGATTCAACTACAGGTTTTTAACTGTTTTTGTGTTCTTGTGTTCTTGTACTGCAACCTAAACGTGTATTATACAGGTTGAATTTCATGTTTAATTCCTGTTTAATTCCTGTTTACAGGCATGTATATCAATAGCTGTTCCATCTTTCTTATTCAATCAACAAGTATATTTCTTACAGTTCTCTTATTATAGTGCTGCCCCAGTCTCACAGCCCACAGGTCACCTAAACTAAACTATTATTATTAAGCTATTAAATGTTTTATTTATTGCTTTAATCTTTTCTTCTTATTCTCCATCGAATGCTCCTTGACTTTCATACGGTTATCAAAGCTCTAGTCTATCTTCAATCTAATGCCAACTCTTGCTCTAGTGGTAGTGGTACGTGTTTCTTAATACATGAGTTGATAAGTTGATTCAATACAAAGGTCATGTGATACGACGTAGAGAAATAATAGCGCTTTTTTACTCTTTAAAAATGTTTTTGATATGCAACCTTCTATAATTCTCATGGTGTCCTGGTGAAAGACGAAGTCCGGAATTTCCACTTGCCAAGTTCTTGCTGGTGGCCAGTGGTCTCCACTAACAGAGTGACCACTATCTTCTAATCTTCCACGCGTGACACGTCGTAGACCGATAGCTATCATGCTTCTTACATAAATATCTCAAACTGTTCCACTTTGCTTACTAACAAAAAGATATGGCTATTAGAGCACTTTGATCCACTCAACTCTTATAACAGGTCGCGACTAAATCTTTAAAGATTGACATCGTAATCAATGGTGGAAATAAGTATAAATACATCCCAATTTTTTGAGAGTTACTCATAAATTTATGGTCGATTTCCGATTCACGCATCGACAGCTTCAAGAATGATCACGGTATAGATTACCCAATCTATATTTATTGACTGCAGATTCGGCTAGCTGCAAAATATGATTTACTTGACTTGCAAGTGCAACGTCACGATTTTTCGATTCTTTGTTACCCTCAGATCAGTAAATCACATACTAACGCGTAAGAAAATGCTGCGTGAGGGCGCCATGTGTCAGGGATTTAACTTTCATACTTTTTTGAGAGTTACTCATAAATTTATGGTCGATTTCCGATTCACGCATCGACAGCTTCAAGAATGATCACGGTATAGATTACCCAATCTATATTTATTGACTGCAGATTCGGCTAGCTGCAAAATATGATTTACTTGACTTGCAAGTGCAACGTCACGATTTTTCGATTCTTTGTTACCCTCAGATCAGTAAATCACATACTAACGCGTGAGAAAATGCTGCGTGAGGGCGCCATGTGTCAGGGATTGAACTATCATCCTTATTTATTTTATTTTCATTATTATTTGCTGTTTACTTGCGCTGCAGCATGGCCATCAACTGAAATTACCACCCTTATGCCTTACTTCGGACAACCATGGCTACATAGTTACGCTGTAACCGGCACTTACAGGAAACCAAAGGATAAAGTACTATTACTAAGGCCAGCGACGGTCAGGGACAAAATGAAATCGCAGCATGTGCGGGATCGCGATTTTTCCCATTTTGTAGCCCTATATATTTTGAGCATCCTTGCCACAGATTTTTTGAGTTAAGTATTTTGTTTGGTCATCTATAACCTCTGTACCAGCCGGCCTGTACCAACCCTGTCCCGGCACGATTTGTTGTATAACTCCGAGTCATATGAACTTAGTGATTTCGTGATAGTCGACCAATATGGCCAGGACTTATTTTCAATATTTTTACGATTCCCTGTTTTATTAAGTTCATGACGTGCTTATTACCATCAGTATCACTGCTTGTAGTTCATATTTTTTCTTTAGCATAGATTCCCTTCCTCATTGCTTTAACCGTGCCTTAACCGTGCCTTAACCGTGCCTTAACCGTGTTATGCCACACTACCGAATTGCCCATTTTTCAAACATGAAGCGGATAAGCGACATTATCTGTGCTCAACGGTTAACAGAAACCGAAGCAAAGCTATTATATTGTTCAAACGATAAATTATCCTAATTTGTATAACAATTAAATTTCATTCATAACTTTCCATGTTTTGCAGCATATTTCAATCAAATTTTTAACCCCATTCCTTTTAGTTTTCAAGCAATGAAGTTGTTGCTACTTGTCGGGGCTGTGCTAACAGTGGGCTGGGCTGCTGACGGTGCATACTCCTACGATGATCAGGCAGCTTGGGGCGGAGTTTGTACCACTGGTAAACACCAGTCTCCAATAGACATAAACAAGGTAACGGACACCGTTTACTACGGCTCAATGATTTCATCTTTCGGCGAGGAAGTAAAAATTGAAAAGAAAACGGAGGGTCTGATGACCGTTCAATGGGACCTCACGGACACCCCTATATTCAAGAACTTTCCAGATGACTGGCCGGTGGGTCAAACCAAGGGTCTTCAGGGTCTTCAAATGCATGTCCACTGGGGAAAGACGAGAACGTATGGGTCAGAGCACAGGCTGAACGGGAAACAATACGACGGAGAAATACACCTGGTCACAAGGAACCTCGACCAGGACGACGAGAACGCAAGCGATTACTACGCCGTGTTGGGAGTCTTCATTGAAGCGGTAGACGAAGGTTTTGACCTTGATATCGACGAAGACGCGGACCAATATATATCAGGAATGGTATCCGGCAGAAACGACGCTGTAGACCTGGATGTGCTGTTTGGACAGCAAGGAACAAATAAACATAAAAATAGCGTGTTCACCTACGAGGGAAGTTTGACGACACCTGGTTGTGATGAGAAGGTATTCTGGCAGGTTCTGGAGAAACCGGTTCTGCTTTCATCATCTTACTTCGACGGAATCCGGGAGGAACTAGAAACGGTCGAGTATAACCACAGGGATATTCAGGAGCTGAACGGTCGACACATCACACACCGTCTCCTAAACCAACTGCATACTTCTGAAGGTGGTCAGTCTGATTCATTTTGCAAAGTTGACTGTCAGGCTGCACAGCAGACGTGCATGGGGGCCATGAGTGGTACTGCTGCAACATCTCTCCCTTCACTCGCTCTTCTCTTCGCAGCACTGGTCTATCTCATGTAGACTACAAAGAACACTATTTTCCATTTTTAGATACAGTAACTCTTTTTTAGATATAGTAACTCTTCACTGATGTAATTTTAAATAAGAAAAGACTAAGCGTGATTTTCCGGCCGTGATGGACAAATGCTTTAATAAAGTTAAAGTTTAGGGGTCGTTCACATATTACGTAATCACTTTTTGACCATTTTTAACCCTCCTCCCCCCTCCGTAATCAGTTTTACACATAGCTATTGTATCTAAATTACACTAGCGTAATCATTTGGAACCCCCTTCCCCCCTCGGCTGATTACCTAATGTGTAATCGACCCCTTACCGACCGATTCTTGGTATATTGTTGATCTGATTACGGATATCATATTCTGTCCGGTGTGACACGTCCGGTTCTATCAGGAATGTTGTTGGACAAGCTAATGGTACATAAAGTTATTATCCTTATTACCGCTAAAGGGCCGCTAATCCTATAAAAGACTTGCCCAGTGCGAGCTCTGCACTCGTAATGTCACATGCGCGTCTACAAAAACATTTTCGCGCGATACGTTTTGATAACAAGTTAATTCTTCCTGTTTGTCACAATTTCGGCCGCGCGCTGCACAACATAACACATTATAATGTAAAAATAAACGCGCGTCAAACTTTCAAATCATGAATTAATTCATCTTCAATCTTGTATGATAAATTATAACAGCAACTAATGAACAAAATATTCGAATTAAAAAACTTTAAACTTCAAGGTTCAAATTTTATCACAGTTCATGTTAAGTTTCAAATTTAAAATGTTTTATTTTAAAGATCATTATGACTACCGCGCGCGGGTAATAACTGATAATCATCAAATTCTGATGACCGAAGAGTTTATTTTCAAATTTTTTTAACCGATGATCATTGATCCAGAATATTGGCGTCTAAAATATGAAGTATGTTTATGCATTATACATTATATGTTATACAGGATTTTCTGCACTGCTCGAGGCCTCAAAGTCGTCAAACGAAAGTGAAACCTATACTAAAAGTAAATTGACTCTTTACTACTAAATGACCACTAAATTGGGTAATGTAATGGCCATAAGAACTTTAAATGTTCTAAATAGTAAATTAAAGCTATTTGGTTTAATTGTTAATATCTTTTCATGTTTCAACTTTAAAAAATTTAAAATGTTCATTTTAAATTTTTCTTTCCACTTTCGAGGTTTTACTTTTAGGAAATTACAAACAACAAAGGAAATCTATTAAATAGATTAATACATTAAATTAATCCGCACTTGCTTTGTACTAGTTGTAATAAAATAATTGTTTTTAAAAAGTTATTCAGTCAAAATATTATTACGCGCGCGCAAGCATTTTACAATTTAAATTTACAATTTAATGGTATTATATTGTCAATTAGGGACTATTTTTGGTAAAAATTTGTGAAATACTTGTCAATAAAACCAATTGAAATTTGGTGAGCGAGAAAGAAGTTTCGAGCAAGTTTTGAAGGTGATCAAGATGGAATAACTAACAGTACATTTTTCGCGGTGACGCCATATATCATATATATACGTACGGCTGCAGACAGATCTGATATGAGATCGAGCGCTATATATTATCTTCTCCTATGATTGTAAGAAAATGTCGATTGTTGCTATCGTCTGTTGATTGTGAGTTGATGTCTCGCTCCCTGCTGTTCAAATAATATAGTTGAGATATCTTCTTAAAATTTTGCCGATTTGCTATCGCTCAACTGATTTCTGATCTTATCATGCAATGACAAATGTTTGCACATACACATTTTCTTTCAGCATCTTTTATTCCTTGACACAATTTTAAAATTATAATTTTATTATTTTATATATATGTATTGTCCATAACTAGGGTGGCCTGCGCCCTGCTAACAGAACCATGATCTGCCTTGATTCATCCTTCAGCACAGAGAAAAGCTCCTTTTTTATACATTATGATTACAGAGGATCTGATATTTAGATATATATTGTTGTGCTGTAAAAACTTACTTTATTTATTTATTTATTTATTATTCCAAAGTTGTACCTAATGGCTAGGGCGTCATTGAATTCTTGCTTGTTGAGACAGAATCCAAATGATTTGATTTATTCCCTATAATTCTGAATTACATATTTTGATTTAATCATCACCCCAAGAAGAAGACATGTTTATGTATCCAGATTTTGCTAAGAAAGCTCTCATAGATCATTCTAAGAATCTTCTATGTTCTAAATCAAAGATGGTCATATGAAGGTTTGTTAAGTATTTCTTTATTGGACTTTTTATTGGATCTTAAACATTTATACAAGGTTTTCACATGATCTTGACTGGTAGAAATATAGATAAGCCCATAGGTAAAGTACAATTTTACAATTTGAGTAAAATACAATTTTTATTTTCCACAGAAGAATCAATACATGTTGAATTATAAATATCCGATAATTTCATTAATAATCATAAAAAGTTGCTTTGTAAAAGCAACTTATACATAAGCAACTTATATTTACAAAATAATACCAAATTTCAGCCTGGAACGAAACGAATGAAGAGACCGAAATGAATGAAGAAGATCTTTTCAGGTAATTAAATAACTGTGCTAAATATGTGATGAGGGTTTGTAGATGTTTAATAACCATGCTTCACTTTTGGACAATTTCTCGATTAAACAAGAAATTCAAGTTAAAACAATGATCGTAATGTGAATCAGGACCCTTATTATTTGTTAAGGGCACTGCAATGAATTTGAATTCCATGGCACTTAGATAGTGAACGTGAAATGACTAGTAACTAGAAAGTGTAGCACAGCAATGCCTTCAATCTTAACTGCTCATGTTAGGAAAATTCTTTAGTTAGTTTATGTCATAACACTGTGCCAAGGCCAGCTTTAACATCTAGGACTGTAATATTGAAAAAGCTGAATTGTGTGACTAACCTGATCCTGTTCTAAGTGCAGAAAATGTCTCAGAATATGCCCAAAATGAGCAAAAGTCAATGATTTGGCAAAAGTTTGGTAGAATTAAGATGAATTAGGTAATCTTCATCTAAACTCTAGATAATTCAGCTAAAAGTCATAGTTGAAAGAATGATCTGCGAACTTTTTTCTGATTGTTGTCACGATGGACAAAAATACCGACAATAGCATTTATATGTTCATCGAGAAAATTTTGTACATACCATCGATATTTGAAGTATTGAACCGGATTTAAGTTAGTCATAGTAGGTTATCATAACATTGACATTGCTTACAAAGCACCAATTTCATGTGGTTTATCATTGGTACATGCCTAAAACAAGAAGTCATTTTAAGGTGGATAATGACACACAGTTCAACCAAATTATGTCAACAAAAAGGCACCCACTCCCTTGAACAATATTCTAAACTTCCATTTTGATAAATGAGTAAGTCACTTTCTGTTGATTTCCAGATGTCAGCTTCTGGTTCAGATACAAAACTTAGAATTGAACCAAAATGTGCCTGAGATGCATGTTTAATGGCCACCAGATTTTTGCCAAATGTACATGTACAAAAATGTACAAAATATGTCTTTTCCTGTTCCGTTTCCAGGGATTTCCGATTTTGTACATTTTTTAAGACCATTAATGTACATGGCCATCAGATTTTTGCCAAATGTACGCTAAATTAGTGTACAAAAATGTAGTTGGACCCCCCCTCCCCCCCCCCCCCCCTAGATAACTAATCAGTCCGATGTGTATTTTGGGCAATCCATCTGGCTATGTGCATTATGCAAGTTGCAACGTCAAGTTTGTTCCCACTCGCAAGAGAGTTTGGCAATCTACCGTGCAAACCTCTTAAGCCCAATATGTTTTGACCATTTCTTTGCTTGGATATATAACTTAAATCCTTCTCCAATTATGAATATAGATAGATTTAAATTTTACCCTTTGTCTGGTTCCGGTTAGTTTTTGTCGGTCACCTGAATTTAAATTCCTCAAGTTTGAATATAATATGCTTGTTAGTCCTCATGTCATCAGACTTAAGAGTAATGAAATGGGGGGGGGGGGGGGGAACCTCATTTTACCTCATTCGGGCAGCCAAAAAGGCAAAATTGGGATGAGGTAAAATGAGGTAAATTAATCTAGTATTCTGAGCCTTTTTAAGAGACAAAAAAGGTTTATTCGAAGTCATTACAGTATAATTCGAGGCTGTGCATGGTCTCCCATGATATTTAATGGTTTATTAGGGGTGATGTGGTCCCTGGGAAGGGGCATTCCCAGTTTAATCTACTTACTCTCTAAACTTGGGGTAAATAAAACTTCGCATTATAATTATTATTTATGAAAAGAAAATTGAACATTTCAATTTCCATGATCCATTAGGATATTGTTAATAGCACTTGCTAAGTTTTGTAAAAGAATTAGCAATAACTTTAGTGTCACTTTGGCAGTTGCCAATTTATGGGGATATTTCCGCATTGCATGACATGGACCATTTAAATAATATCTTAATTTGATATTGCGATTATCGAGTCACTCTGAAACAAATTTTGTCTAACTAGACCAAATGTAAACAACAGTTGTGCATGGAACTGGATTGGATATCTACATGAATTTAGTCGAAATTGCATAGTAAAAGGTCATTTCATAATAAATTACTCATATAAACTCATACTTAATACAATTCTAAGTTCTTATGTACATGTTAAATGTTCATGATTCGCTGTAGAATAAAGGGCGGTTCACAAAACCACTTTTCGTTCAAATAATTAGATATCACCTCTAATTAGTTGCTCTATAGGGTCAGGAAAAACCAAAAAAATGTTTATGTCTCTACGGTTTCGTATAATACTGACTTGGGCCACGCTTATATTTTTCACCAATTTTTAACAGGTAAAATTTTCTAAATTCTAAATCGTCAATTTAGTCACGAATGAGTATGGAAGGGGTTCTAAATGCAAATGTGTGCTCCTCTAATATAAACAGTAGGAAATGATTAACTTTAGTCGAGGTTTCAGGTCTCTACAATGTCGGGAAGTTCCTGCAGGAATTTGTGCATTGCGCTGAAGCGCAAGATTGACTGCGCCAAAATCGAAGGTCGTAGAGACATGAGACCTTGACTAAAGTTAACCATTTCATACCATAGCTATAAGAGTATGCCACTTTCAGAGTCATGAACACACTCCTACAGCTCTTAATCGTCAATTATATGAATTTTACCAGTTAAAATATATCATCTTTAACTGATATCAATTTAGTTTAACACTGTTAGTTTTAAAAAAGAACATAATACTTCACGAAATGATTACTTCATAGCTCGTCACTAACTGGATCAGCATAACATGACTAACAACTAACGAGGTCCAGTGATCTCTTGCTGATACGTCAAGACAGGATCAGTAAATAACTATAAATATCGAACAAAATTAGCTTAGAAATTACTGAGTACAAATGCCTTCTTCACTACTAACTCTTTGGCCTCATCTTTTTAAATCACTTATTCCCTCTGAAACAAGATAATGCTTAGGACTAGGAGGATTGAGGAACTTAGTTAACTTCTTGTATGATTCGGTAAGAGGAAAATTCCTTAGTAAGCTAACATTCTTTTGTAGGATGTTACCACTTATCATATCTGTTATCCATTATATATTCTCATATTGTGTGTTAGTTTGGTGTGAGGTATCATTTTCTCTTTTAAAACTAACAGTGTTAAACTAAATTGATATCAGTAAAAGATGATATATTTTAACAAGTAAAATTCATATAATTGACGATTAAGAGCTGTAGGAGTGTGTTCATGACTCTGAAAGTGGCATACTCTTATAGCTATGGTATGAAATGGTTAACTTTAGTCAAGGTCTCTACGACCTTCGCTTTTGGCGCTGTGAATCTTGCGCTTCAAGCGCACTGCGAAAATTCCTGCAGGAACTTCCCGACATTGTAGAGACCTGAGACCTCGATTAAAGTTAACTATTTCCTACTGTTTATATTAGAGGAGCACACATTTAGAACTCCTTCCATAATCCTTCGTGACTAAATTGACGATTTAGAGAATTTTACCCGTTTAAAATTGGTGAAAAATATGGGCGTGGCCTAAGTCAGTATTATACGAAACCGTAGAGACACAAACATTTTTTTGGTTGTTCCTGACCCTATAATAGAGCAACTAATTAGAGGTGATATCTAATTATTTGAACGAAAAGTGGTTTTGTGAACCGCCTTATAATGCCAGATAACCCCCTCTATATCCCTGAGCTGTCCCGCATCAGGGTTCGCAGATCCTCTTTAGAGTTTGTCCCAATTTCCTTCAGACAAGTAGCTTTGTCTTGGTCGGCCTTGCTGTGCTCTACCAGTACCCTGAATACGTTCCCATAAGACTAAATCACTGGCAAGTAGCTCAGGATTTTACTAACATGTTCAGCCACTCAGAAGTGCCAAATGATCCTCTGGTTCATGAAATGAACAAAAATGAACTTAACCCTAAAATCGACTAAACTGAGTTGAAACCGATCAGAGTCTGTTGGTCAATTCGTGGGAATTTAGAATAATGTTTATTTATTTGTTCTTTTTGTTCATTCCATGAACCAGGGGAATATTTCGCACTTTTAAGTGACTGGAAATGTTAGTACACATGCCCCTCTACCATACCAGATCCATTTCATGCCAGTTCAGGCATAATTACCGCTAAAAAGCATGTTTCTAAATTTCTGTCAAATGTTTCCAAAATCTTAACTACTGCTCAGAAACCAAAATGGAAATATTGCCCAGAGCCCTTTCTGAACAAGCTGGACCCACTAAACTTCACGGGGACACTCCTGGTATCAATAGCAATCGGTTTCAGTTCAGTCCAGGACATTCTGAGACAATGTTCATTTTTTGTTCATTTCATTCATTCCATGAATTCGATAAATATTTCAAAACTAGCTGGAAATGTCAGTACACATGCCATCCTATCATACCAGAGCAAATTCTACTTAGTTTACGGACAAATACCGCCAAAAACATCGATAAAATGTTGTCTCCAACATCTTGGATACATCTTCTGTATTTTGGATACGGCGGGCGCCGTCTTGTTTCACCAACGAAATCCTACTAGCTTCATAAATTTTGATTAAATTTTACGCGCGCGGCGAGACGCACGGATTTTCGGAAATGAACGAATTTAAGTAAACCCGATTTATTATTTTTGCTCTGAAAATTAATATATAGGTGGAAGTAGAACCCAACTTTATTGCACTCTACGCATCTAAAACTCACATTAGTAGTAATGTTAGTTGTCGCTTAACTAAACCATTTCAGATTTTATGTCGAGTTACGTCATTGTTTGCATCATTGATGTAAAATATACCTGGAAGAAACTCCTTCTAGCAGCACCTCACGCATGATGAGTGATAGCTCATATCGAAAACCCCCGAGCTGAAGTGTGTGTCACACGAGAGTCTGCAACATGGTGTGTAGTTAATACTTTTGAAAATTAATTATTTCACCACTAGAAGATTTACAGGTTGTAATTGTAATAAGTCTATCTATGTGTTATGATTCATGTTTGTCTATTAATAATAATTATTTTTCTCAGGAGTCACGTGCGAAGGACAAAATTTGCCGTTACGGCAGTAGACAATTCTAGCTAAGAAAGCAGAGTTCAGAGCAGAATTGAAGCAGAAAGCTGCCGACCAACACCTGTACCTCTCAGCCCTTGTTCCGGAGTATCAGGTGGTTGGATCCGACATCCGGAAAGCCTTCCAACGGATCGGAGCTCTACCTTTCATCCCTCCTGATGACATTCACTACGCAGGGCAGACCTTTAGACCTATCCTCTCCGCAGATATGGATGTCTTAACATTATACTTTGAGTCCACGTGGATGGGAACACCAAACAGACCTGCTCGCTTCGATCACCTGTCCTGGAACCAGTACGATTGCTGTCTAGCTGGTCTCCCACGCTCTTTGAACCTTACAGAAGGATGACATAATGGTTTCCGCAGCCTCGTCCAGTGTTCAAATCCTACCATCTGGAAATTCCTTGAAGCCCTCAAACTAGAGCAAGGACTAACAGACTCAACACTGACAACACTCTTGGAGTATTTTAAGACAGGACAACACTTGTTATGCTCCAGCTCTACAAATCCCTGATAAGGTCCAGAGTGGAGTACTGCTGCCCGCTTTGGAATCAAAACAAGATCTAGCATACAACGCTAGTTCACCAGACGGATTCTAGGGCTCAGAGACACCGATTAAATGGAATAGACTGAAGGAACTGAAACTTACATCACTGCAAAGACGCCGAGAACGCTACACCATCATACATCTGTGGAAAGTTCTCCAGGGAATATGTCCAAATGTTCTAGATGTACAGTTCAGAGAGAATGCCAGACTGGGAGTTAAAGTTATACTCCCTTCTCTCACCAAACAAGCATCAGCTGCTGCACGCTCCACCTACGACCACTCATTCGCAGTAAGAGCTGGAAGACTCTGGAATGTTCTCCCCAAAATTGTCAATACTCAAAGGACTTTGACAAGCTTCAAGACATCTCTTGGAAACTTCCTAGACACCCTTCCAGAATCCAGACAAGCCCCTACTTCTGGATACAGTGCAGAAAACTCTATTTCTACAGACATAGCGGAGTTCTACAGTTACTAGCTACGAGTCCACATGGATCGAGATCTCATCAATCCTACCTTCGCTCACTACAAATGGAGTCCACCAAGATGCTGCTTCCCCGGAGTTCAACATAGCTGAAGGATTGCTCCACGGCCTCTACTGCACTCAATGTTATCCTTTTCAAACCTTACTATCTGGAAATTTCTGGACTGTCTGAAGGCGGGGCAGGACATAACATATGTGAAACTCACGAAGAGACTGTGCAGAGAACGTCCTAGCCGAGGAGCAGCAAAGTGGATCTTAAGTATGACGAGAGACTGCAGACTGTTAACTTGATTTTCTTAAAAGTTATTGGATGTTTGATTTGAATTTATGATATAATGAATTTGTGATTTAAATTTATTAACATGACTTTCAAATTGATAATCTCTCTTGGTGAAGAATATAATAATAATTTGTATAATTTGTAAAGTTCGTAGATTCCTCTACAGGGTCATCGAATAGTTCGACCGCCCTTGTTTAACAGTACACTACATTGTAGATGTTCTGAAGGAGTATCCTAAGATTCTTGATCTTTTGGCACAGGCACCCCTCCTCATTTAACCCTCAATCAAGTTTCCTATCATTCGGCTAATTCGACCGAGGAGATCACATAGATCCAATGAATCCTTAGCTACTCCCTAGACTGAGTAAAACTGGGATTCTAACCCTGAACCTTCTGTACAGAAGGCGTAAGCTCTAACCACTAGGCCACCCAGCCATTGAGAAAAATTGGGGGAAATTCAACTAAGCGTCGCTTATTTTCGGTACTGCTTGTCCCCGTTGACTAACCGACGTGTTACCACACTTAGTATTTAGGCTTCATGCAGAGAAAAGCATGTCAAGACGATAATCCCGCCTAGGCCATATTACAATTCAAATACACGATGCAACGAATTTTGAGGCCATGCCTTGGCCTTGTTCATACAAGTTGTATATCCTACTGGAGAACTAAAGCAATATTGGACCGCATTCTTTGTTGGCACCGCAATCATTTCCTATTCTAACATACATAGCACAATAACATTGAACATAGGTAAGCAAGCAACACCACGATTTTCTCGTAAAATCGGTAATATTTCTGTATTTAATGTAGAGCCGGGCGCTAGATCACAGATATCCCTAGATATGCACGATCTTTGATCCATCTAGGGTCGCCCCTGAAATTGGAGATACTCTCTCTAAGGCATGCTACCATCTTATTTCACAATTGCCTGTAGGGAGGTACCCCAAAAATTACCTCTTTAACTAACAGTTGCACTGCCACCAGACAGGAGGGTGTAAAATGCAGCTCTGATTTGAAGAAATCAATATGACTGAAGACTCTTATAAAGCTAATTTGTAGCGGTTGCATCGGCAATCTGTTCAGCCGACAACCACTACATTTATTGATTACGAGCTGTGCTTGTAATCGATAAAGGATTCCAATGTTGTAGTGTCAGAGTCAGTAAATTAACGCATGCTACCCTAAATTAACGCATGCTACCGGCCCTGTACCCCAATACACACGATGTCCTCAGACCTCATCATTGATTCTCCAGTAAATTTAACGACTTTACTTCGGAGTATTCCAACAGCCACATTGTTACACACGTGCAACCAGCCAATTGCAGGTAGCCGAAGGATTAATTTTGGCCAGTGACGGTTAAACTTAAAGTAGTGTGTACCGTACTTCGCCCGAGACTGCTGCAATGTGCAGCTCCTCATTTAACCCTCACTTCCGATTTCCCGAGTATTCGGCTGATAGAAATGTTCCCTTTGTCTATAAGTATAACCATGACGATCCAATAAATGTAAGCAAAAACTATATCCATCACTTATTTATCGCCATTTAAAAGTTTATAATATTTGACCCTATGTTCTCCAGTCCTAATAATATAATATATAATATAACCGGCCCGTATAATATAACCCGTAAAGACTAAGAGCGAGTAGTGCGACCGACGTAAGCCTTTCCACAGACACTTCATTGGGAAATAACAAATAAATGATGTTGTAACTCTATAAGCAGTAGAAGTTTCCACTTTCCAAGGGAAGCTTTAAGTTCACAACATTTGCAATTGCATCGTGGCACATTGCATTCGCTGGTTCATGGTTGGGCCATGTTTAGCTCCTAAAGCAAGTAAAGTTCTTTCAATTTGACGAGGCGATATTTTAACAACATAACTCGCAGGACTGCTGTATTTAGCACACGCGCGACTGTAATGATATGAAAAATGAGCCGTCCGCTCATGCCTATATATAGTCATCGTGTCCATAGTTCACATAGCCATGTGCCTACGCGTACTGCGTGACGCGCTTGTTTCACAAGTAGGATAGGCACATACAGATCAGCACACATAAGATGGTACGTGTGCGCGCGCGCAGTGCTGACAATAGCGTCGTATTTAACCGGGTGCACGTACATCGTGTGCGATGATTGGTATCTATTTGAGGGTTTATGTCTATTCCAAGAAGTTTTTAGACGATGAAATCAGAAATACAGGAATTGTGGTACAATAAGAAATTAGAAATTTTAAAAATCCTACGATTGAAATACAATTTGAATTACAACAGGATTACATAAAAATATAAGTATTCTTTGTATATTATAAAGAAACTAAAAAGCCCGTGGTCACACAAAGGAAGCTAATAGTATTCTTTTTAGTCAGTTTTTATCGCATCAAAAAATATCTGTCACGACCGAGTATACAGCCCATTAAAATATAGCTCGCAATGAACACAACGTATAATTACCACAACGTATAATTACCACAAAACCGATAAAAATGTCGTTTTAACAACTTTCACGTGGACGGTCGTACAATGTACAAAGATAATTCTAGAATTATAGTAGAGATAGTTTTACAATTTGAATTGCATGTAAATAATTTTCAAATGATTCTGTCATAAATGCTAAAAACAATTTCGTACATAAACAAATAATATGTACTAAATAACTAAAGACAATTTCATAGAAATGATTACGGAAGATTACAGATTGAAAGTATAAATGATAACGAGATTACATCACACTTCGTGATCCGCAAGAAACGGATTCATTTGCATAACATATAACATATAACAATCCGGTGACCGACAACCAATCCATCCGGCCGCAACAATCACTTCGCGATCAGTAAGAAATAGGTTAGATCTTTCAGTCCCAACATTGACTTCGTGATCAGTAAGAAACAGGTTAGATCTTTCAGTCCCAACATTGACTTCGTAATCAGTAAGAAACGGGTTCATTCCTGCAGGCCCAACTCCGACCGGATGCTGAAAAAGTACATGTTGTCATTGACATATTTACTCATCTGTAAATGTAATCTACTAATCTGTTACGTAAAACAGCAAATGATATATTTCAGCCCCTATCACTTGATCGTGCTAATATTTAATATGTAAGATACATTTTGTTCTTTACTACTGCCCGATCGGATGAACTGGGAAGTTAGGGGAGAATAGTGGAACTAATAATATTTTCACAATAAATGTATTTAATTTTAATTGCGGTTGTGAGTATAGTTAAACATTGACACTGAAATGATGCGAGAGATACTCTTTTGTGCTAATAAGGACATAAAGTGCTCGGTTGATCAGGAGCGAGCTTAGTGTGCAGTGTGAGCTGAAGACAATTTACACAAGTATTTTGAAAGCTCCTGCTAATAAAATCCTTTCATATCACTTGTATGTTTTAAATATCCCCCTCCAGGTTAGTGTGAGTGTGTGCAGTGCAGGAGCGACACGGGCGATTGTGTCGCTCCTACGCTACACTCTTAATCTCGGTTTACCGTGCAACTGCAAGGCATAATGCAGAAGATTTTCTATTTCAAAGTTAGCTACTATACTATCAAAGAAAGCTTGTAGGATCAGAGGTTATAAGTTGGCAACATACAGCTTAACTGAATATAGGTAGCAAGTTTTGTGAGATGTGCTTCAGTGAGCGGAAATTAAAGTCACGACGACGTCGCAGATTGTGAGTCAGCGAAGCTACATTTACCGACTTCTAATCCCGGACCTTACTAAAATGTATTCCAATGAAATCGCAAATTTG